TGTGTGTGTGTGCTGGATGATTGTGTGTGTGTGCTTGATGATTGTGTGTGTGTGCTGGATGATTGTGTGTGTGCGTGCTGGATGATGTGTGTGTGTGTGTGTGTGCTGGATGATGTGTGTGTGTGTGTGTGCTGGATTATGTGTGTGTGAGTGCTGGATGATGTGTGTGTGTGCTGGATGATGTGTGTGTGAGTGCTGGATGATGTGTGTGTGAGTGCTGGATGATGTGTGTGTGTGTGTGAGTGCTGGATGATGTGTGTGTGAGTGCTGGATGATGTGTGTGTGTGTGCTGGATGATGTGTGTGCTGGTTGATTGTGTGTGTGTGCTGGATGATTGTGTGTGTGTGCTGGATGATTGTGTGTGTGTGCTGGATGATTGTGTGTGTGGCGGGTGCTGGATGATGTGTGTGTGTGTGTGTGCTGGATTATGTGTGTGTGTGAGGTGCTGGATGATGTGTGTGTGTGGCACAAGATGATGTGTAGTACTGCCCAGATGATGTGTGTGTGTGCTGAATGATGATAGCCAATGGCCAGGCGAGTGCTGGATGATGGGTGTTTGTGGCGAGTGCTGGATGATGGGTGTTTGTGCTTGAGTGCTGGATGATGTGTGTGTGTGTGTGCTGGATGATGTGTGTGTGAGTGCTGGATGATGTGTGTGTGTGAGTGCTGGATGATGTGTGAGTGAGTGCTGGATGATGTGTGAGTGCTGGATGATGGGTGTGTGAGTGCTGGATGATGGGTGTGTGAGTGCTGGATGATGTGTGAGTGAGTGCTGGATGATGTGTGTGTGCTGGATGATGGGTGTGTGAGTGCTGGATGATGTGTGTGTGAGTGCTGGATGATGTGTGTGAGTGTGCTGGATGATGTGCGTGTGAGTGCTGGATGGTGTGCGTGTGAGTGCTGGATGGTGTGTGTGTGTGTGTGTGAGTGCTGGGTGTGTGAGTGCTGGATGATGGGTGTGTGTGTGCTGGATGATGGGTGTGTGTGGAGTGCTGGATGATGGGTGTGTGAGGCTGGATGATGTGTGAGTGTTGATGATGGGTGTGTGTGTGGATGGATGATGTGTGTGTGTGTGCTGGATGATGGGTGTGTGTGTGAGTGCTGGATGATGTGTGTGTGTGGGTGCTGGATGATGTGTGTGTGTGGGTGCTGGATGATGTGTGTGTGTGTGGGTGCTGGATGATGTGTGTGTGTGTGTGGGTGCTGGATGATGGGTGTGTGAGTGCTGGATGATGGGTGTGTGAGTGCTGGATGATGTGTGTGTGCTGGATGATGGGTGTGTGTGCTGGATGATGTGTGTGTGAGTGTTGGATGATGTGTGTGTGAGTGTTGGATGATGTGTGTGTGAGTGTTGGATGATGTGTGTGTGAGTGCTGGATGATGTGTGTGTTAGTGGGGCTGGATGATGGGTGTGTGAGTGCTGGATGATGGGTGTGTGTGTGCTGGATGATGTGTGTGTGAGTGCTGGATGATGCGGTGTGAGTTTTGGATGATGGGTGTGTGTGCTGGATGATGTGTGTGAGTGCTGGATGATGTGTGTGTGAGTTTTGGATGATGTGTGTGTGAGTTTTGGATGATGGGTGTGTGTGTGCTGGATGATGGGTGTGTGAGTGCTGGATGATGGGTGTGTGTGTGCTGGATGATGTGTGTGTGAGTGCTGGATGATGTGTGTGTGAGTTTTGGATGATGGGTGTGTGTGAGTGCTGGATGATGTGTGTGTGAGTGCTGGATGATGTGTGTGTGAGTTTTGGATGATGGGTGTGTGTGCTGGATGATGTGCGTGTGAGTGCTGGATGATGTGTGTGTGTGCTGGATGATGGGTGTGTGTGTGCTGGATGATGGGTGTGTGTGTGCTGGATGATGGGTGTGTGTGTGCTGGATGATGGGTGTGTGTGTGCTGGATGATGGGTGTGTGAGTGCTGGATGATGGGTGTGTGTGTGCTGGATGATGGGTGTGTGAGTGCTGGATGACGGGTGTGTGTGTGTGCTGGATGATGGGTGTGTGTGTGCTGGATGATGGGTGGGTGGGGGGGAGCATTTTTTTTTAAACTTTATGTGTATGTATATTTTTTATTTTATTCCCCCCTCCCTGCTTCTTACCTTGTCAGGGAGGGGGGAGATCGCCTGGTGGTCCGGTGGAGGGAGCCAGCCGCTGCACAGAGGGGCCATCACACGCTGTGTTCCCTCTCCAGCTCTAACTCTCGAGAGACTCGCCTGTGCGGAGCGTTGCCATGGTAACAGCCGTGGGTCTCGCGAGAGTTAGAGCTGGAGAGGGAACACAGCGTGTGCTGGCCTCTCTGTGCAGGGAGCAGGGCCGGTCCTGCAGGACAGGTAACGGGAACGGCGTTCCTGCTGTGGAGAAAGTGCAGGAACGCCGTTCCCATGCGTTCCTGCAGGACTCGAGCCCTGAATAGGAATAAAGTGCAGGTTATCAAACAATACAAAGTTCATTAATAAGTATTTACTCAGAGAAGTTTTTAATAAGATTCTTTAGGTTGCTGGGAATAATCTTCAATAGAAACATTAAGCAGGTAGTAAAGGGTAAAGCAAGAACAGTTCATAGTAAATAAGCAAGAACAGTTCATAGTAAATAAGCATGATGGGAGTTGTCCTCCATATAATTAATAACTTGAAACAGAGATGATTTGAGCAAGCAGGAATTGGTTCATTAATAATTGATATTGCAGACAATAGTTGAAAGATATACTTAAGGTTAAGGTGAGTTGTCCTCCAAGAGTTCAGAGTTATAGTCCACTTGTAAATTAGCAAAGTTTTCGTTCACCAGTAATCCTTTATGGCATGAAGCAATCCTTGCATTGGCTCAAAGGCTGGGACGGCTTGTCAGAGCTTGTGGATCCGGCGTGTATACCCGGAAGTAGGTCCCACAATCACCAAGCGCCTTCTCCCTGGCGCGGTCTCCCTAAATACTGTCAGAGCCGCGTCAGAAGGGGGCGGGGCCGGCTCCGCAATGCGGAAGTGCCGAACTCGGAAGAGATACCGCATGACATACACACTCTCAGTGACAGACATGCATACACACACTGACAGACATACACATTCACTAACAGAAATACACACTTTCACTGACACACACTCTTTGACAGACACACACTTACTATCAGACACAAACTAACAGACACACACCAACACTCTCACTAACACACACACTCACAATTGTTTTTTTAATTATTTGCTTACATTTTGGTGGCTTCTTCCCTGTGGTCCAATGGGGCTGCTACTGGCTGGGCTGGTAAGCACACAGGCGGGCAAGCAGGCTCATAGTGGAGGTGGCGAGGGAGCAGTGATCCTCCTGTTCAGCTCCTTCGCGCACCTTTTAGTGATGCCGGAGTGATGTCATATTCCGGCTCTGGCATCACTGTGGTGCACGTGAGGGAGCTGAGCAGTGAAGAACTCAGAGTCCTCCCTTGCCGCCCGCCTCCCACATCAGCCCATGCCAGCCTCGGGGGTCCAGAGGTGGCCACCCGGCCATCTCCTGAGCCCTCCAGGACAAGAGGCTGGCAAGGCATTTGGCTTGCAAGGGTGTTTGAGGGGTGGCTTTTTTTGACGCCCAGCTGAAAGTGCCTTGCCAGCCTTGCGGTAAATACACTGAATACTTTTGTTGCAATATTTATCCTAAAGTGTCTTTAAATACATATAACTATACTGCAATAAAAAAAGAGCTTTAAATGCAAACTTTGTGTGTTTCTCGATGTTTTGAGCTATTATGCTCTGCTCTTACTTGAGTGCATGTTATATGATCGTACCCTATATGCTTGCTTTTAGATAATGCATTGTCTGTTTTTCATCTCAAAAGGAACACTATAGTGTCAGAAATACAAACATGTATTCCTGACACAATAGTGTTGATGTGACTCTTTAGGTAACCGGCCCTCCACCGATCACGCTGAAAAGGTAATTTTACTCACATTTCCTACTGCGCCGGTCTAGTTGCAGCTGGCCGCCCCTAGCTCAGCCAATCCAATGCTTTCCCACAGGCTATTGTGCATGCGCATCAAAACACAGCACTGAGTGTCCATGCAGAAACATTGAAAAACCTTACATTAAAAAACCTGCAGAGACAGGAATGTAGCCTACATTTAGCTGTTCTGGTGACTATAGTGTCCCTTTAATTATCGTATAGTATTCGTTGTGCATATTTTGATAGTGCTTCTCTCAAACAAAGAACAGGCAATGTGGTTTAGACATTAACTGGCATTCTTTTATTCTTTAACTTTTGGTAGAAGGATTTGGTAATACACTCCCAGTAGGAGCATGCCACAAACAAAACAACAATATTCCTTTAAACTATAGTGGTACATGTAATGAAACTTGTTTTCTCTTTAATATTTTTATTAGTGATATTGCAGAAGGTCTTGATGGTAAGGTATGTCTTTTTGCTGATGATACTAAGATATATAACAGGGTTGATGTTCCAGGAGGGATAAGCCAAATGGCAAATGATTTAGGTAAACTAGAAAAATGGTCAGAATTGTGGCAACTGACATTTAATGTGGATAAGTGCAAGATAATGCATCTTGGACGTAAAAACCCAAGGGCAGAGTACAGAATATTTGATAGAGTTCTAACCTCAACATATGAGGAAAGGGATTTAGGGGTGATTATTTCTGATGACTTAAAGGTAGGCAGACAATGTAATAGAGCAGCAGGAAATGCTAGCAGAATGCTTGGTTGTATAGGGAGAGGTATTAGCAGTAGAAAGAAGGAAGTGCTCATGCCATTGTACAGAACACTGGTGAGACCTCACTTGGAGTATTGTACACAGTACTGGAGACCGTATCTTCAGAAGGATATTGATACCTTAGAGAGGGTTCAGAGAAGGGCTACTAAACTGGTTCATGGATTGCGGGATAAAACTTACCAGGAAAGGTTAAAGGATCTTAACATGTATAGCTTGGAGGAAAGACGAGACAGGGGGGATATGATAGAAACATTTAAATATATAAAGGGAATCAACACAGTAAAGGAGGAGACTATATTTAAAAGAAGAAAAACTACCACAACAAGAGGACATAGTCTTAAATTAGAGGGACAAAGGTTTAAAAATAATATCAGGAAGTATTACTTTACTGAGAGGGTAGTGGATGCATGGAATAGCCTTCCAGCTGAAGTGGTAGAGGTTAACACAGTAAAGGAGTTTAAGCATGCGTGGGATAGGCATAAGGCTATCCTAACTATAAGATAAGGCTAGGGACTAATGAAAGTATTTAGAAAATTGGGCAGACTAGATGGGCCGAATGGTTCTTATCTGCCGTCACATTCTATGTTTTCTTTAGTTACATATTAACATTGTATAGAGCTGACCATCATTATTTTAAAAGGGATCAGGAATTTATACCATTGAATAAAACTTGTCTGAGATGCTCCATTTTAAAAAAAGATTTATATTAAAGATTTAGCAAATGACATCATAACCCAGTTCTGGTAAATCAAAAGACATTGCAAGGAAATGGAGAAAAAGAAAACACGTTTCATTTCTAATGTTCTTTATACACTGTCTCTATGCTTACTGCCAGATGCAAAGTAATAGAGTTTATAACAGTGATTGACAGGGAGGTAAGATGGAGGTGCCAAGTTGCAGGATAAACAGAGGTGGATTTATAAATGTATTTTTATTTTTCATGCCTCAATTAGTAAGCATTCTATTAAAAATCCCAATGTGTGACAATTGATATTTAAATGCAGCATATTAGGATTCTTCTTTATTATGGAGACAGGTAGATGGATGGGAGAAACTGGAAGGAATTGGAGATTGCTATATATGGAAGTAAGGAGTGGGTAGAAATGGGTACTTAGCACAGGGTTTCCCAATTAATGTTTCCCTTTGAACCCTTTCACATGGTATAGCAAAACTTTGGGACCCCCCTAAAAAAATGTGTGCCGTAGAGTAGCACAGCGCAGCGCAGCGCAGCGCAAACCTTTCAATGAGCAGAGTGTAATGTTCTCTTTTACTGGCAAATTCCTTCTGTATCTGGTTTAATTGTTGAAAATTGTATTTGCATGTCTGCAGTTGCATCAAGTCGATTACGATACTTTGTTTTTGTTGCAGAGTAAAGTGAGAATCCAGTTTCACATAAGTACATGCTGGCGAATGGCAACAGAACTTTGATTGCCCTCTTGGACAATTCTGGGTATTCTTTACGTAAATCACACCAGAAAGCAATAACAGAAACTTCTTATTCAGAAGTTATATCGATCATATTCTCAAAATTTACATCAGAACAATTGGCTGGCTTGTCTTTTATGAATGGATTTCAAACCCACTCATTATTGTTTTCATTCAAGAATGGAAAATACTGATTAATAGATGTGATTAAATGGCAAAGATGATCTACAATTTCATTGTGAATTTCATCTTCAAGTTCAATTTCTGATTCTTCGAGAAAATCCTCAAGTGTTGCCAAAGAGTTCAAATTATTTTGCTCAACAGATGAGGTCCAAAACTGCAGCTTACAAGACAGTAAAAATATTTTATCCCTCGCATTAAAAATATTAGTGTTTTTGCTTGGAGTGATAAACATACCGTATATACTCGAGTATAAGTCGAGTTTTTCAGCACATTTTTTGTGCTGAAAAACCCCCACTCGACTTATACTCGAGTCAATGTCTGTATTATGGCAACTTACATTGCCATAATACAGACCAGGACCACCAAGTTTGTCCTGTTGGGGGCTGGCAGAGAGCTGTTAGCTGGCCAGGGAGGGGGGCTCTCATTCCCTGGTGGTCCAGTGGTGTGCACTGTGTAGGAGGGGGGCTGGCAGAGAGCTGTAACTTA